TCACAGCCCCTAAATGCAAAAGGGACAGAGAGAATGGGGAGGGTGGGGGGCGCGTTTTTATTGCATTTGCCCTTTCATGCTGGGGGGCGTTCTCGCCCCTTCTCCCCCTCCAGCAGGCCCCAACCTGCACAGGGCTTTTCAAAGAGTCATTTGGAGTCCATATCTGTCAGATCCATTTAAGGCGTTGCGGGCGGAGGGAGAGGGAGGGGTGGCAGCCCGCCGGCCCACTGCCCTCTCCTCCCGCCCTAGGGGTCCCGGTGAAGGTGACCAACGTCAAGGACGGCACCACCCACCGCACGTCCCTGGAGCTCTTCGTGTACCTGAATGAAGTCGCGTGAGTGCCCACAGCCTGGCCCGGCCTCCTGGGAAACCGCCCCCTCGGGCCCTCGCTGTCACAGGCCATTGTGCCTCGTGTCTGGGCCTGAGGCTCAGGGGCTACGGGGGACAGGCAGCCTCGGTGGGGCTCACAGGCACTGGGTCTCCTGGTCTGATGGGAGCCTCTGGTGGCCTTCAGCCTTGGAAGGTTAATACCACCACCACCCACGCCCCCGGGGGTCTACTGCCCCTAGGGGCAGTCCAACTAGAGCTTCTGAGCTTTCTGCCAGACCTGAGACCCAGGTAACAGGAAAGATGAGCAGTGGGGAGGGCTGGTGCCCTGCAAGGCCCCAGGACAGAGGCAACAGAAGTTGCCAACTCCCTGTGTGACCCTGGCAATCCTTTCCCTCTCTGGGTCTGTTTCCCCAAGTGTACAGTGGGCAGTTGAAGCAGGTGACCTGGCTCCAAGGTCCTTTGCATCTTGGGTCCTGGGATGGTGCCTGACGCCCTGCACGTAGGCTCTGGCGTCCTGCAGCTGAGAGCCCAGCCAGGTGGGTGGCGTCTGACTCGATTCCTTGTGGCAGCATGTGGTTCTAAGGGACCCGTTCTCCCCACAGGGGCAAGCACGGCGTTGGCCGCATTGACATCGTGGAGAACCGTTTCATTGGGATGAAGTCCCGAGGTGAGTCTGCTCACCACCCTTGGGGGCGTGTCTCAGCTCCCAGAGACCCCAGAGGCCCCCCAGATTCCCATCCCGTTCGGGTGTTGCTACGTGGGTGACTTTGGACACGTTCCTTCCCCCACCGGACTCAGTTTCTCCCCTGTGAGGTGGGGACAGTGGGCCCTTTGCCACTGACTCTCAAGGGCATGATGAGAAGCGCTGTCCCAAGAGCACGAGGAGGAACCTGGGGGTCCAGGAGGGGCTCGGAGGAGAGGGGAGGCCAGGGACAGGCCTGGAGGTCAGGCTGTCCTGTGCCCCGGGCGGGTCGGCCAGGTTTGGAGGCCGACCACGCAGGGCCGATTTCACAGTCATAAAGGCTGCTTTGAGGAGGCGGCCGGCCCCACAGGGCAGGAGTCCCGCGGGGGGTGGGCGCTGTGGGCTGTGCTGGTGGTGGGAGCCGGCCAGGGCCTGTCCCAGGGTCCAGCATGGCACAGGCTGGCTGGGGCTCTGCCTCTGTGTGCAGCAGATGCCACCTCCCCTAGGCTGCCAGGCCTGTTGCCGCCTCCAGCTGGGCCGGGAGTGAAAAGAGGTTTGGTCCCCAACCAAGCAGGTGCCTCTATCTTCTCTTACTAACCAGAGCCCTGTGGTTTTCTGTCGGTCCCTCGCCGGGTCATCAGACCACACCCGCCCCTCCCGGACTCAGTTTCCCCAGGGGGATCTCCTATCCAGAGAGCTGATGGCCACCAGATTTAGCACCCTTAGAACAGGGTGCTGGTCCGGGCGACAGGAAGCGGGGATCCTCACTTACCTGACTTGTCACCTCTGGGCCCCATTTTCCCAAGTGTGATGTGGTGGGCCCCGGGGTGGAGGTCAGATCCTTCCAGCTCTGACCTGTTTGGATTTGTCTCAAAAGGTGTGGGGCCACTTTGCCTCTTTCCTGTGATTTTTCTTGTTCTTTTCCTCCTCAACACAGCTACTATGACGAGAAGCAACCTAATTGAAACTCTTGGGGAAGGCCTTGTCAGAACAATATGACTAATTAGCTGCTCCCTTTTGTCCTGGCTTACACCTTTGCCTCTTACCTGTATTAACATCTGATTAAATGTCCCTTTGTCTCAGTCTGCCCTTGGGAGACAACACAATGTAAATCATGCAAGGCAGGCCAAGGGGGGACCTTGGGGGACCAAGCCACAGACCAGCACCCTCATTTTACAGAAGGGGAAACCGAGGCCGGGACTGATGCCCAGACCCCCAGAGGCACAGAGTGGAGGCTAAGAGCTAGAACTCTGGGGTGGGGTAGATCCAGTCCCAGCCCATGTTTGATAGTGGGGTCTGGTGCAGGGGATGTGCCCCATAAATGGCAGCGGCCCCAGGGGCAGGCTGAAAGGTCAGAGGCAGGCTGTGCCATCTGGGAGCTCAGTGTGGCTCAGAAGTGTCCTCGGTGGCACCTGCTGGCTGCCCTTCCCGCGCCATCACTAATTGCGGATAGTTATTACCAACCGACCAGGATTGGCACTTGTGGTGAAAATGAATTGCCTTCCAAGGTAAGGACCGGCCTGAGGTCACTCCTTGAAAATGCCATCCTGCTGGGTAGGGAGGGTCAAGTAAACATGAACTGAAGGGGGTGGTGATAAAGGCCTGAACGAGGTTATGCCAAGAAGGCTTCCTGGAGGATGTGACAGGAGACTAGGCTTCAGCTGGTAGATGTGGAATAAAGAGGGTGGAGCAGGAACAGTCTGGGGGATTAGGAGAGAAGGTAGGGGGCACCCCAGGTGGCCCCTTAGGTCTGATGGGGGCTGGGCCCCTGGAGCCAGAGGGAGGCACATGTAGAGAGTCTGGGCTCCGGTGGCAGATGTGAGCCCCCGTCTTGGCCCCATCACCACTAGAAAAGGAACTTAGCCTCCTAGAGCCTCAGCTTCTTCATCTGTGGAATGGGTTGTTGTGTGGACCAAATACAGAGAGCTCTGGATGATAGACTACTACCTTTTCCCCAGAACTGGGGGGGCATCATCACCCCAGAAGTTCAGAGCCTTGAGATTAGCAGTCAGCTCTGACCCCCTTGGCTTCTAACCCATGGTTCCTGGAGCACGGCCTTCACAGTGCCCAGGTACTCTGTGTGTACCTGCGGGGGCTGTCCCTACATGCCTGGAATATAGCCAGAGGGTTGTACAGTCTTTGGGGAAGACAATCAGGATTCAGACTCCCAAGAACTTGCTGTGTGACCTTAGCACGTTGCTTTCCCTCTCTGTGGCTCTGACTATCAAAGGTGGCGCGAGACTAGGTGATCTTCCCTCTGGAAGTTGTAATTTGCCTGTTTTCTTACTTGGGTCAGAGGGGTGAGAGAGGAAGGTTGCTTCATGATTTTAGGGTGGTGTCCTGTTTTTATGTCTCCGCTCCGAGTAATTCGTCGTGAGGAAGAATGAGCAGGGGCAGTAAATGAGGGTGTTGGGGATGTCCACACACCACGGTTGTTATTAAGTCTACAGTAATGGGAGAAGCTGTTAATTGTCAATGATATTGAGGGCAGAGCAGGAAGACGCTATTGTCCGTACCTCCGTGTACAAGGGGAAAATGTCATTTGTATTGATTTTACAAAGCTCATAATTGAAATTCGTTAAAGGGCTTGTTTTTTGGGGGGGGGAGCAGGGGGGAGTTGGGTAGGGAGTTGGGCAGTGTTAGTGCCCTGAGTCTGGGGTGGTCATGGGGTCAGAGGGGCAGGGGGCTGGGGAAGCTGCAGATGGAGTAGTTTTTGCTGTATTGTGGCTGTTCACATCGTCATTATCACATTATCTTTTTAACTCTGGAGGGGGGCTAATTAAGTGAAGTAAATGAAATCAGTGGGGAGGAGAAGGGGGGGCAGGGCAGGCAGGAGGGAAGCGGGGAAGGAGCCAGCGTCTGTCCTTCTGCTCACCTTCTCCCTCCTTCTCTAGCCAGCTTGGCTCTCTCCTTAGCTCTCAGCCCTGTCCCTGCCGGTCTCACCTCTGCCTGCCGCTGCCTCTTCCCTCGGAGGACTCCCTCCCCCTCCTCCTCATTGCCTGCTTCTCCTCTTCCCTCCCTGTCCCTCTCTCCTCCACCCTTCCCATCTGTCTCCCACTCTCCCGTCCTATCTCACTTCCTCCTGACTCCTCCACTTTCTGGCTAAGAAGAAGCAAGGGCTGCCCGCCCATTTACCCACCTGCCTGCCCACCTGTCCAGGCCTCCCAGAGGCTCTGCTCAGATGGAATGTTCCAGATGGAGAGTAGAGGGAGAGCTATGAAACAAAGATGTCTGTACCCCCAGAGGCCCACCCTGATCCCAGGGCTGGGCCTGCAGGGCACCAGGAACATAGAGGATGGCTAGAGACCCACCATGACTTGCCTCCCCATCACCATGGCAACCGCCTCCATCCTTGGCCCTAGTACCCAAGAGGGGAGGCCTTGGGCTCCAGCCAACCTCCCTTCTCCGGGCCTTTCCAGATATCTCCCTCTGGATACTGCTTTCCCAAAGGACCAGAGCCTCTGGTCCAGCGGCCCTAACGCCCACCCCACCCCGACCCAGATCCCAGCAGATTGGCGGATCCCACTCCGTTCTGCCAAATCATACCATCCGGTTAACCCGGCAGCCTCAGGAACAGAGGAGACGGATTTAAGCTGCAGCAATGTTTTGGTCCCCACCTCTTCCTCCTTGGTCCACTCACCCCCCCACCCCCCAACTCCTTGCCCTTTTCCCCATCCCCCCCTTGGCAGTAATTATGGTGTGATTGAAGCTGCTCTGCAGAGAACCACTGACACCTCTGTCTTTTTCCTGTAAACACGGGGAGATGAAAATAGACACTTGGAGCCGCTGTGCATGTCACTATGAAGATGTCTGTTGTCTCTTCCACCGCGACAGCGAGACTCACCTGTCATCTCCTCCTCCTTTTTGCACGGTGGTTTGTATGCCGACTGTCAAAAGCCCCAAATCCATAGTCTTTTAGCATCAGGTTTCTGTCACTGTTTTTTTTTTTTTAAGTCTTTTTTTTTTTTCCCAGAAGGAATACACAGAAATCATCTGTACCCCCTACCCCTGCGGGGAGGAGAGGGGGGAACTTTCAAATGCTCACACGCATGCACACACACACACACACACACACACACACACATGACAGCAGCGACCTGAAAACAGCTTTTTGATCAGTCACAATTAACTTGAACACCTAAGAAAAGGAGCAGGAACATTAATTGTGCAGTGTGTTTGAGGGCTGTGGCTTTTCTTCTAGCCCTCGGCGCCTCCTGTGGCCGTCTGGGAGGGTTGGCGGCCATGAGGCTGGTTCTGAGTGCTCAGGGGCGGGCAGCTCTGCCCACCAGACGCTCCCTGCTCCTTTCCTGGGGATGTCCTAGCGTGGGCCAGCAGCGGGTGGCCCTTGGGCAGGTCGTGGCTCTTGCTGGCTGGAAGTATAGGGTCCTCCTGGCACTCTGCACACAACCATTGTTGTTCCTTCTCTGGGCTGCTGGGAATTGATGCTGTGGAGCTGGCCCCGATCTTCTAAAGAGACAAAGCCATCAGCATGCCCACCACATGGGGGTGACAGTGTGTCCAGGTACTTACCATCCAGGCAGGTCTCCGTGGAAGTGAGAATGAAGAGCACTTTGCCTGGGGCTCAGAAGGTGACTGAGGTAGGCCAAGGTCACACAGCAAAGCTGAGCTGGGAACTCTGTGAAGGTGTCTGTTCCGTGAGACTTCTGGTCCCCAGCCTCAGCCCTGCAAATACAGCTTGGACCGTGCCCCGTGCCTGGCCCAGCCGAAGACAGAAAAGCAAGGGGTCAGATTCCCTGGGACCTGAAAGCAGGAGGGCTCCACTCTCGGAGACTGTCTGTGCCAATATACGGAGAGCCTTGGAAAGCTTCGGGGTTTTTCCGAAATGTAGCAAAACTAATCATTAGAAGGCCTGTCTCCAATTTGCTAAATAGCAAGCTCTTAGTATGTGCCAGGGTGAAAGACCAGTAAGTTTCTGTCCGTGTGTCTTGCTTTAGGTAGCTCTGGGGAATTCCTGCACTCCCGGTGATGAAGTTTCTAGGAGAGTTGAAACTGGCCCTCTAACATGATGGTCACGTCTGCCGTGCTGGAGGCAGACATTTCTAAATGTTCTGCAAACGTCTTTGTAAACAGATGGCTGAACCACTGGGCCTTCCTCCGTGGCCTGGGGCCATCAGGAGCCACTTGTTTGTGGCCCCTTACTGCCCCCCCAGGAGGAGCCCTGACTTCTGTGCTGAGTTTTTGCAGGTTTTCCATGACTCCCTGTTTTCATGCTCTTGGCTTTTCTCAGCCATCCATCCATCTCCGCCTCCAACAGCCTTTCTGGTTTGGGGCTCCCAGCCGCTCGGTAGAAACGGATGGTCGAGCCTGTTTGAACTGTTTGCAAGAGAGACAAGGAGGCCGAGCGGGGCCTGAACATCACCCTGGGACTCCAGGGCTCCAGGGCTTGGGGCTGGTGCATGAACTTGGGACATTGGTGTTTTTCCTGCTGGGGAGGCCATTTGCTCCCAGAAGGTCACAACTGGATCAGGACGGCAGAATTGCCCAAGAGCCACACTAGTGAAATGGGACAGGCTCTTTCGTGGCACGTTGTAATTATATCAGCATCTGGTCTCCAGGTGGGGCTTTGACAAGTATGTCCCCCCCCACACCCCCGAGACCAGGATATCAGGGGGCTGTAATAAGAGACTCACCTCCCAGAGAGGCTCTTTTTTGCTTGGGAACACCTCAGAGCCAGGGTGAGAGCCCAGGCTTTTCTTCCTCAGCCACAGCCACGGCTCCCCAGATTTGCATTCCTTTCCATGCCCTGGTAAGCACAGGATCGCTTTGCCAAAGGACCTGAGGAGCAATCTGGAGCAGAGAAGGGAGATCCAGATGCTGCTCCCATTGACCTTGGGCAAGTCACTTCCTTCCCGGGGCTTCAGTCTGCCCATCTGTAAAAATAATGTTGGGCCACACTGGCATTTTAAGGACTTCTTGGTGGAGCCTGGGGTCTGCAGAGGGGCCTCTGCTCCCCCCAGTGGGGTCTGGGCTCTCTCTTCTGTATGCTGGGCTTTTGCCAAAGACTGAATAATGGGTTTGCAGCTCAAAATTAGAAGAACCGGGCACCAGTGGTCTGAAAGGTCCTCTCCTGGCAGCTGACATTTTTCCGATTCCCAGAGTGAAAGATCGAAGACTAGAAGGTTCTGTAGAGGGGGACGTTTATGACTAGTGACAGCACCCTCAGCCACACCCATGGTGCCTTTGGGCTCCAAGTTCGAAAACAATCTCCTTTTTGATTTTGGGGGGTCGGGGGGAGGCGGGTGGTTAAAAACATTTTTTAAGTTGTGGAGAAACCTACATGACATTTACCGTTTTAACCATTTTGAAGCCGAGAAGCCGACAGCTGAGGAGCAGTAAAGAACGTTCACACTGTTGTGCAGCCATCATCCCCATCCACCTCCGGAATTCTGTCTTCCCAAACTGAGAGGCCCCCCTGTAGCCCGCCCCCCAAACAACAACCTCCCTCTGCCCCCTCCTCCCCGCCCCCCGCACCCACCATCCTGCGTCCGCTCTCTGTTCTCTAGGTACATCCTCGCTGTAGCAGGTGTCGAGAATCCCTCCCTCTTCAAGGCCGAATAATATTACACCGTGTGTATATGCCACATTTTGTTTATCCCTTCAGCCGGCGACGGGCATTGTGGTGGCCTCCGCCTTTCGGCTGTTGTGAATAGTGCTGCCAAGAACGCGGGCGCACAGATCCTTTCTGATTTTTAAAGCAGCCAGTGTGGAAGGACGGTGGTAAATGTTCGGGATCCCTTTAAATGTGCCCCCTCAACGCTGTAACGTTACGTGGTGGGAAGAAAGGAAGCTTTCAGAGTCGCGTTGGTGGGAGGGGGTCCGTTCTTGCTGCTTCCCCAGGGCAGGTGTGCCTGTGGTCAGCTCAGCGTGCTCCCTGGACATGCCGCGTGCGCTTGGGCAGTCCTGCCTCCTGGGGCCTCCTGTCCTCAAATCCAGTGTGGGACTCCTAATCAGACCTCCCTCCCAGCCAGGACCATGCTCAGCTCAGGGGCAGTCCCCCCGGTGTCACTTTGGAGACCCTCGGCTCCAAGCAGGTTGTTTAGGAGGTGGAGACACGGGGCCTGAGGTCATCGGGAGGGGGCTCGGGCAAGGCCACCTTCCCACGACCTTCTGGGTTTGGGCCCCATCGCCAGCTGACCCACGGGGCAGCAGATAGCACCAGTCAGGGACTCTGTGCCTCGATCCAGGTCCCAGCTCCACACTGGGCACGTTCTGTCTGCTCCCGGGCTCGGTTTCCCCACCTGCATGTGGGGTCGGTGCGGGAGACCGCCATGCCCTCCGCCGCCCCAGAGATCAGGCCGTATGTGCAGAGACGTGGCCGGCGAGGGAGCCTCAGGCTGAAGGTGGCATGCGCGTGTGCACACGTGTGTGCAAGTGTGTGCACAGCTGTCCCCTCCCCTGGCTCCCCAGTGGAAGGGAGGAAGGGATATTTGGGGCCCTGGGCTCCACCGTAGTTGGTTTAATTACAGGTTTTCAACCGTGGGCCGGTGGGCACGCGTTGGGAAGGAGGGGGGAGCCGCTCCGAAACCCTGTCATTTTCCAACGTCTGAGGGCCTCTTCAAAGGGGGGCATCCAGACATTTTCTCCACAAGCCGCAGAGTGGACTGTCGTGGCCCCAGCATGAGCATAATGACAGGCGCATTTTGCAACAAGCTGGGAGTGAATGGGTCCGACCGGCTTGTCTCCTGTCAGACGAGTCATTATTATTATTTTTTTTTTTTTGTCATTTGCTGACAGTTTGGGTTTCATGCGTTTCTCTCTTTTTTCTCCTTTTCCCCCTGCCTGGAAAAATGGCTAGGTATCTACGAGACCCCAGCAGGGACGATCCTTTACCACGCTCATTTAGACATCGAGGCCTTCACCATGGATCGCGAAGTGCGCAAAATCAAACAGGGCCTGGGCCTGAAATTCGCCGAGCTGGTGTACACGGGTGCGTAGACCCCCCTCCCGAAGCGAACAGCGCCCTCCTCCAGTCCTGCCCCACCCACCACCATCCTCAGGAGGGCCTGAAAGAGTCAGGGTGACGGGGGTTGAGCGAGGGCAGGGGACAAAGCGAGGGGGTGGGTGGTGCCGACACCTGCCTTGTTCACGGGGTGTTGAGGGACCCCCCCAAGATGGCCAGCTGCCTCCGCACCTGGGATTTGCACAACTTCGGTAGTGTCATCCCTAGGGTGGCCGGCTTCTACCCAGCACATGCCAGGTGGGGACACGAGCCATCCTGGGGGCTCCTCCCAGCGTCCCAAGGAGAGGTGCAGCCAGCTCCTCTTACAGATGAGGAAACAGAGTCTCAGGGCAAAAGGACCTTGTACAAAGTTACACAACCGGAAGTGGCCTAGCTGGGTTTGACCCCAGGCCGGGCTGTGACCAGGCAGAACCTGGAGCTGCCACAAGCAAGGGAAAGTCTGCCTTGACCAAGAACTTGGCCCCAGGCCTGGGCATTGCCCGAGCCAGAGGGAGCCCGTGCACGGGATGACATTAGCACATGGTATGGGGGGCGGGCGGGGGACCACGTTCCAGGTGAGACTCGGTGCCTTATCTGTCACAGAGCTGGAATCCAGGCCTCCTGACTGCAATCCCATCCCTCACACCGTGTAACAGGGGTCCCCAGATCCAGCCCATGGCCCGATTCTGTTCAGCCCATGAGTGAAGCCTAGTTTTTTACACATTTTTGAAATGGTTGGGGAGAAAAAAACTGTTTATTAATACTATTTCACGTCCCCTGAGAATTCTAGGAAATTCAAATTCCAGTGCCCATAAATGGCATTTGGGCACGGCCACGTGCACTGGCTTACATGTTGTCTGTGGTCACTTCCGAGTGCCAGGGCAGGGTTGAGTCATCTGTGAGAGAGAGCACGTGACCTGCAGAGCCTAAAATATTTACTAACTGGCCCTTTCCTGAAAATGTTTGCTGACCCTGCTCTATAACGTGAGAATGTACATCAAACGGTCCCTCTGAGCTGTGGTTGGGGACAGGCTGCTGCCCTAGGCGGGGTTGACAACTGCGGGGGCCTGGACATCAGGGGGACCTGGCAAAGTGCATATTAATAATCCGTACCTGGGATAAGCCTCCACTGCCCTCGCCTCATCCCCTCCTCCTCCCCTCAGAGGTTTTATTCCCTTTGAAAGCTCCAAATCACTGTAACTTATCTCGGGATTTCAAGGGCACTCGGTGGTTATTGGCTGGGTGATTTCTCCCTCCCATTGTATCTGGCAGCTTTGAAGCTGGGATCCCCCCCCCCCGCCCCCAGGTACAGACAGGTGTTTAAATACCATTGTCTCCTGCAGGCTCTCTTGCTCAGCGGGGTTTCAGCAGAAAGGTGGATTCTGGTTACAGAGTAGGAGAGTCATTAAGCCTGGCAGGCCCATAGGGGAGAGCACCTGGCCCGGGCTGCTAGCTCAGAGGCTCCTCTAGGGAGGCCGAGTTGGGGCAGGCCGCCAGCTGCCCTCCCCTCCCACGATAGAGGGGCCTCCACCTCTCTTGCTGCAGGAGCCTGAGCTGGGCAGTCGAGGGTATTACCTAATCTTAGCTGCACCAAGGTGAAGAAACTGAGCCCCAGGCAGGCCAGGACACAGAACAAGCTTTCTCGGCTGATGAGTGGGGTCTTTGAGCCCAGGACAGGCCGCTTCAGAGGCCAAGTGCTCGGCCACTCCAGCGGATCCAGGGTGGGCGGGAAGGTGGGCTGGGGCCCTTAGGAAAGGGAGATCAAGGGGTCCCTCGGTGTCTGGGGCACAGCTTGGCCCGCAGGCTCAGGGCCTCTACCCCTGACTGCTGGGGTGGAATCCTTATTCTGTTAACTCACCGAGCCCTTCAAATCCCCAAATGAAGTACAGTAATTAGGAGGTTTCAAAGGATTATTGACACTCGCCTTCCCGGGTGCCCCTGATGTCATCAGGCCCCTGTAGATGTCACCTTGGCCTCGGGCAGCAACTCGGAGGGGCTCTTTGATGTGATTTCTCATGTTAGGGAGACATGAACATTACAGAGCGGTTTAAGCAAGTACTGAACCTCCCTGTGCCTCGGTTTCCTCATCTGAAGGGTGGGGATCATAAATGTACGTGTCACATAATGACGACTAATTACATAAACACTTGTAAAGCATCTAGAGCACAGAGGAATGTGATTTCAGCGTGGATCGATAAACTACAAATGCCTGGCGTGGTTTCCGAAGATAGAGTCAGGGACCTGGGGCCTTGCCTCCGGCTGGGTTTATGACCTTGAGTAGGTCTGTTTACCCTGAGCCTCAGTTTCCCCTCCTGTAAAATAAAGGGCACCAGGCCAGGTCTCTTCCTGCCACACTGCTGTGATACAGGGCTTCCTCAGAAACACAGATAGGGAGACTGAGGCACAAGGAAGCCCTTCTACCTCAGCCCCACTGCTAGATGCCCTGTCCATCATCCTCTCCTCACCCCATCCCCAAGTTTCCCTGTGGGACCCAGCCCACAAGGGCATCCTGGCAGGACCCCAGCTTCGGGACCCCTCCCTCTCCTTTAGGGCACAGAGCTCACCTCCTCTCCCTCGCCTGTTTCTTCAGCAGGAGAACGGGTAAGATGCCCAGCTCATACAGGGGGCTGTTGTCCCGATTAGCATAGTGCGTGGCCCAGCCCCAGACCTGAGATACCCATGCAGCACGCCAGGCTCACTGTCCCTCGCCCCAGGCTGGGTCTGCTGGGAAAAGAAATCTGAGTGCAAGATCCCCATGCGGGGGAGGTAGGAGATCCTGAGATAAAGCGCAGGCCAGGTGCTCCCACGTGGGTTTCTGCCCCCGCCCCAATCTCTGGCTCCATCTCCTCCCTGTCTTCCAGCCTGAGAGCTTAATGGTCTAATTATCCTGACTTAGCAAGAGGGCCAAGCCACTGAGGCATGGCCGGTGGGGGGTTGGGAGGGGGGCATCAGTGTCCCCTCCCGTGGGGGTCAGGAACACTTTTCAGGATCTCACTGTGGCTGGGGATACCTCTCTGGGTGCCTGTCTCCCTGTGTACAGGGAGGGCTGGTGGAGGCCATATTCAGATCTCGAATTTAAAATGCTTAGTGCTCGGCCTGCATCCCATCAGGGAATCCATACACCCCCCTGGAGAGTGGTAATATCTCATTGTGCAAGTGAGGAACTCAGGTACAAAGCGGGTACGTTGCCTGTCAGTGTGGAGCAGGATGCAAACCCAAATGACAGGTGGCCGGAGGGTGGCCCAGTCTTTTCTCTCCCTGCCCGGCCCTCCCTGACCTCTGCAAGCCACTGGACCCTATCCCAGAGAAGGCCTGCTCCCCTTTCCCACGGAGAGCCTCAGCAGGTGCCCCTGGAGGCCCAGCCTCCAACAAAAGCCACAGACCCGGGGCTGACCTGGCCCTTTATCAGGGCAGGAGATCGCGCACCATCTGGCCCCACAGCTGCCCAGGTGGGCTCACCTTCCCGGCTCCGTTTCAGGGAAACCCTACCCCTTGAGCTGTCCCTCCCCCAACCCTGGCCACAGCCCACCTGCCCTCCACAGAGACTAGAGAGGAGATGGCTGTCTGCACGTCTGAGCCTGTTGGTGCCGAGGTACTAGCCCCGGGGCAGCCTGGGAATTGAGCACACAGCCTTCCCTGGCCTGAGGCCTCTGGGGGACAGAGTGGGGTTGAAGAGGGGTGGGTAGCACATTTCCCAGGCACCTTGTATACTGATGGATGTTCCATCCACAGACAGGAAAACTCCCAGATTATCATATGAGGCAGAGCTGTCCTACCGTAGGTCCGGCCCCAGGCCCCTCACTGCAGCCTGTGTGTGATCTTGGAGAAACTTCAACTTCCCCGAGCCTTACTTGCTCACTCAGAAAAGAGAGAGGTGAAGAGAGTTTTTCTCACAGGCTGTTTCTGACAATTCAAAGAGCTTAGCCTGTGCTTCATACATACAAGTATTTGCATAGGAAAATATTAGCAGCATGTAGACAGTTTACTGATGTCTGAGATGGGGGGGGGACGGGGGCCTCTTCCGGGCTCCTGGCCGGGACGCCAGCATGTGGACACCCGGGGCCTCCACACGCAATAAGCCCACTGGTCCTGGGAGGGGGTACTGTGTCATTCCCACTCAGTAGATGGGGAATCAGAGGCACAGAGTGGTGAAGGCCACAAGCACATGGTCTTTCTGACTCCAAGCCACTACCCAGCTGCCCCTGCTGGGTGCTCCTGTCGCTCAGCCCAGGCTCACACTTGTCTGAGTCTTACCTGAGGTCTCCTGCCCCACAGCTGTCTGCCATCCTCAGGAGACTGAGCTCCCTGTGGGCAAGGGACAGCGTTCCTTCCCGGCAGTGTTCCCAGGGCCTGGCCCATTGCGCTGAATATCTGGCATGAGGCAGAGGGTTAGCTCCCCTCCTCCTGATCCTTGGGAGGTGACTGTTTGCTAGGGCAGGGAGGGCCCCTCCCTACCCACAAGAGACCTGCAAGATCACAGGACAGGGACGCGGGCTCCTTGAGGCAGCTGATGCAAGACCCTCCCCCCAAGGTCCGCCATGATGGACTGCGGCTCGGGGTGCCCTCCCTATACTCCCAATCCTAGGCCCCAGCACAGTGGGCCTCCCTAGCGCCCTCACTGTTTCCTTCCTACAGGTTTCTGGCACAGCCCAGAGTGTGAATTTGTCCGCCACTGCATCGCCAAGTCCCAGGAGCGTGTGGAAGGGAAAGTACAGGTGTCTGTCTTTAAGGGCCAGGTGTACATCCTCGGCCGGGAGTCCCCGCTGTCCCTCTACAACGAGGAGCTGGTGAGGTAGGTGCCCCCACACTGGCCCCCCCGGCCGGGGAGCAGACCCTCATGGCCACTGTCCCTTCTGACCAGCTTTCTCAACAAAGATGCGCCTAAGCATGTATGGGGCAGGGGGGAGGAGACAGTCGTGAAGAGAACTGACGCTACCTCTACCCCTGTGGACCTTCCAAAGGCACCAATCAAATGATCACCTGAACGTAGACTTAGGCAAGTGTCGGGCTGTGAGGAGGTGCAGGATAGTCTGGCTGGGTATAGTAATGAGTATGGAGAAACTTCCCTGAGGAAGTCACCTTTGAGCTGGCCTCCAAAGGACAGGAGCTAACCAGGTGGAGAGGGAGCAGCGAAGTTTCCAGGGACACGGTCACGGGCAGAGGTTCTGGGCCTTGGAAGAGTCCAGAACATTCCAGGCACTACAAGAACACTGGGAGCCAGGGGCCAGAGCGTGAGGGCCCCGGAGCCAGATCTTAAAGGGAAGGAGCCATCAGACCTTTTTCTTTCGGGGGTCCTTCTGGCTGCTCTGGAGAATAGATTTGGGTGAGGTGGGATTGAGAGGAACAGAAGGATTTGACAAATGGTTAAGACATTAAGAATGGAAAGGGCTTGGATGTGGAGGGAGATGAAGAGGTATAGAATTGCCTGGCATGAGCAGCTGGGCACACGTGGGTGGCAATTCTTGAATTGAGGGGATTCTTGAAGGAAGATCCTACATCTGGGCTCAGACACCTTGAGGGTGAGCCATCTTGGAGACAGACCAGGAGAGTGTCCGGTCAGCCCTTGGACACAAGAGACTAGAATTGAGGAGGAAGTTGGTGGAAGACAAGGCAGAGTGGCAGACATCTCGAGGTTTTCCGAGGCCAGGAGGAAACTGGCCAGGGAGGGGAGGGTCAGAGTGAGCCGGGGCGGGAGACAGGGAGGGGTGTTGAGGCCACGCCGAGGGTGCTGCCGCGGCCCCGGGACAGGCCGCCGCGCCCTGGCGGGCTGGGTCAGAGGCAGCCTTGACTCTTGAGCTGCACCTAAACTTGTGCACGAGACTGTGGCCTCCATGGAGGATCAAGGCATCCCCTTTGGAGGTCACTTGGCCACACAAGAGGTGGGGACCGACAGCCCCACCTGACTCAAGTCCCAGGCCCAGCTTAGCCCCGGCGGAGGCCTGTTGGGAATTAGCGTGCGAGTTTTGTTTGGCGGTCAATATTATTTCCCTCTTTCCCGTCTCCTCACCGCGTTGAGCTTCTCCCCCCTTCCATCTTTCTAAACACTTTATAAGCCATAAATATAACCGAATCAGTTTAGATCAGTCGGGGTAAATGTCAAATTATCTTCTCTCTTTCTCTCTCTCTGGCTCTTTCTTCCCTCCCCCTCCGAATCAGCAGCCTCTAATAATCTGCCCAACCCTTCATTAAACCTTACAGCCTCACTCAGGGAGATTAAATGAAGAAAGTAAAAAGGGGAAGGAAAAAAAGAGAGAAAAGCAGGCGCATTTATTCTCACTGTGTCTCCGACCATTTCCCCTTTCTTTTTGATTTCTACATCGCTGACTTGAAAGCCCTTGAGTGACAGCCTCACAGGGACCAGCGAGGAAGCCGTGAGCGGTAGCAGAACTGGAAATGCCGTGGCACAGTAGGTAGAAAGTAATGTAATTATAGAGCAGGTCAGAGCCACTCGAATGAACAAAAATAAAAGCACAGAGGTTTTCTGTAGACCGTCAGGGGAGGTACAAAAAAAAAAAATCATTGTAAACTCTTTTTCCACCACCCCCCCCCCACCACCACCCCAAACCACAATTTTAAAAAGAGGTTTTTCAGCTCCCGAGAAACACCTCTGGGAACTCTTCTGCAGCCTCGAGCGCGGGACAAGTGTGTCCCCGGACGTGGGCCTCTCTTTACCGGGGCTGCTGCGGCGTCCTGGGAGGGGAGCAGGAAAGTTTGTTTTGACACGTGCGAAGTGGTGATGAAAAGGCAGATGCACGTGGAGGGGAGCTGGAAGGGGCTCTGAACCCTGGCTTCTCCCTGAGCGGAGCACAGGGGTCCTTCCAAAGGGGACGGGTGATTCAGACAGTGGCAGTGTGTTCCAGGATTTGATTTGTGTGGGGCGGGGTAAGCTTTCTCCTCCAGAACAAGGTCTGTAAAAGGGAGCTGCAGAGCCTGATGCTTTAGTTTGGTCCAGCTTGTTCTCTGCCCAGTGAGGGGTGCCAAGAGGCAGCCTTTCTGAGGTCCGACATCTTCCCCCTTACAGGGGACTTGCTGGTCTGCTCCTGGTGGCTTGCGCCACCTGAGACCTAGAGGGGCCAGCAGAGGTGGGGAGGAGGAAAGAAGGGGTGGGAGTGTGGGAGTTCATGTGCAGCTTCCTGGGCCCATGAAGGTCAGGGCCGGGGCATGGTGGGGGTAGGGCAACAGAGCCCACGGTCCTGAACAAGTTGCAGGACAGCTGAGCGCAGACACCCTACTTGTTGTCAAAAGTCCACAATCCACAAAGAGCCAGCCAGAGGCACAGCCTTAGGGTCTCAGGGGGGGGAAGAAAAATAGCAGATTCCCTTCTGCCCTCCTCCTCCCCAATCTCACCTCTCCGGAGAAGGCTCCTGAGGGGACAGGCCGCCTCCTTGTCATCGAGAACCTTGAGACTGCTTTGTCCTGAGGCTGGAGTTCTGGAGACAGGAGGACAAGGGGCTGATTCAGAGTAGGACGCGTGAGAAACAGAGAAGGGACCCCCTCCCCGCCAGAGGCTTGGAGGGTGGCCGTGCGGAGCCAGATCTGAGACCACAATGCCCTGAACTTGTCCTCAAAGAGCTTATCCCAGCTGTGATTAAGGCAGATGGGTGATTGATTGCTGACGTCTGCTGCCCCACCCACATACCGTGGGCCCTGTTCCCTTCTTGCTCCTATTTCCCCAGCACCTGCAGACCATACGTGCCTAATAAATGCCTGAATAAATGAATGAGTGAATGAATGACACAAGTCATGGTGTGGCAGCCGCATCAGTTCCCGTGGAGTCAGTGATAACACTGAGAGGCCCATTTGACAAGTGAAAGCCTGAAGCTCACCGAGTGGAAATGGGTACCCTAAGCTCTGCGGCGGGGCGGGGTGGCAGAGCTCGGTTGTAGCCCCGGCTGGGAGGACTGTGGTTGGGAAGGGTTCCTCGAAGAATAGCTAAGTGAAAACAGCCCAGAAGATGAAGGCTGTCGAATCTGGAAGATGGCAGCTGTGGATGGGGGAAACGTTTATAACAGTGGCGGCTGAGCAGGCCCTTCTCGGGGCCAGCCGGCGTGGGGCAGGTGCCAGGTTTGTGGATGGATCTCAGTGCCGGGGGCGCTGTCACGAGTCCGAGGCTGTCCCGGGTGCACCCCGTGGCCTCCCGGGCCTTCGGGCCACTGGATGCCATCAGCTGTTGCTGGAGATTTCTCTCAGAGCCCCCCCC